GTCTACACAGATACTGTACATGGGTAGGGTGAGGTCTAGGGATCGAACCCTGGGTACTGCATCCGCTACTGCTAAAAGGTGAAAACCGTTTCAAAAAGAAGTACATGCTTATGTATTTCACAAACCACCTTCGACTTGGCGACAATGCAGACTCAACATACCTTTTTTCCATTTCTTGTGCCAGATGCATCTCGGTTGCAACAACCAATGCATCCACAGGTTAAAATGTTTCCTCTTTTTTCTCCCTCTTTCCTAAATACATTAGACAAATAATGAACAAGCTGTCTTGACACTCTGTGTGCCAGAATGTGAAGGGGTAGATACAATCAACAGCAAAACATCAGGAGTTCCAAAAAGCCATTCCTGCAATGCCTGAACACCTATCATAGAAAACTTACTTTCGCACAGACCGAACAATGTAGTGCACATTGTTCATAAGAAAGATATGCCTCAGCGCCGCATCCTTGAACGGCTTAGCCTTCGCATCCAGGTTATCCTGCAGCATTTGCATAATCTTTTTCGTCGACTCCGTAAGATATGTTGATGTTTTTTCCGGTGCCTCCCCATATATCTCCTTCAGTGTGCCCTGGTACCTTTGCACACGTCAATAGATTTGCAATGCACACACAGCCGATTAACCAAACAATCTAGAGAGAGAGAGAGAGAAGAGAGAGAGAGAGAGAGAGAGAGAGAGAGAGAGAGAGAGAGAGAGAGAGAGAGAATCAGATACAGAAGATACCCATAGAGTGCAACCCAGTGCGAGAGCTGGAAGTTCAGTAAACGTGAACGATTCCCTGAGTCAACTGAGATAGCTAGGGCCTTGCCACACCACTTTAAAAATAGTAGACATTGTAGAGAGAGAGTTTAAAAATAGTGGTATACTGTCATTCCAGGCTTAGGGCCTTGCCACACCAGTTTTGAATGGACCAAGAGAGTGTTCAAAAAAGTAGCGGTCTACTATCATCCCACGCTTAGGGCCTCGCCACACCACTTGTGAAAATTCGTTTTCAAGAGTTTCCGCATTGTCACGCAGCCTCTTGAAAGTTGGTCCTCCAGAATTTTTTCAAGAGACGTCAGAGTGACTCTTGAAATGCTTACAAGAGCACTACTTAAAATGCTTTCAAGAGTGGCTGTTGAAACACTCGAATCTCAGCCTGCAACGCTTGGGTGGATGCTCGAGCATCCTTGGCCAACCCCTTGACGGACTCTTATTTTCAACAGCTGTCATACTGTTATGCTGATGCAACCGGAAAAGACAAAAAACTCGTTCGTCCGTCGTTTGCACATTGGTCTTGATCTTGAAAACCTACTCTTGAAAAAGTCTGACAGCTTCTGAAATGATTCATTCATACTTTCAAAGGCGGTGCACAAGGCCCTTAGCAGTGATTGAACAGTGCTTACCTGAGCTTGCATCCCAACCTCGATGTGCTTTTCTTTCTTTGGGGAAGTGTGGGCTTAATTAAAGTCAATTACATCACTGGCATAAGATCCATACTAACGATAAACGGCTTCTGCATTCCAAACGCATAAAGCATAACTAACAACTATCCTAACAATAAAACTATTGTCTACAAAGTTGCAAACTGAAAAACCTCTAACTCCTGGAAATGTTCTAATCCTGAAGAAAGTGATACCAACCAAGGGAAGTTTGCAGAGGACGAGAACTCGGATGCAGTAAACAACCCTCTTCCTCTGAACACAATGCATACCAATTATGAATGAATACAAGCTATCTTTCTGGTCCTATACAGTCACGACGAACCCTCTTCCTCTGAACACAATGCATACCAATTATGAATGAATACAAGCTATCTTTTTGGTCTTATACAGTCACGACGAGGTGCATTGTGTTCGGCGGAAGATGGCAGTCCATTGCCTGTTCTGAACTTCACAGACAGTTCTACCACCTGGGTGCCATGCTAATCACAACCCCAAGGAACCCATCACGTTTTACCCCTTCCCCCTCTTCCCTCCCTTCTCTCCTTCTTCTCTCTCCCGTCCCTCACAGCACAACCCCATACCTTCAGTCAGTACAATAATGACAAGGAAAATCCTCAGTATCCTGCTTATCTTTAGGTACAGAGGTTTTCACAGCTGCCAAAAACTTTCTGCAAGACTGGGGCCGTGTACCAGCAGTTTAAGCAAACCGATTACGACAACTTTTGCCTGTATGCTTTCAGGCGCAATTGTCCAAATTGGGATTGGTTAGAATAACCAATGACCAAAACGTACCACATTTGTTGCAAACAACATGACAGTCAGGGCTGCTATTGCATATCCAGCCTTTAGACATGCACACCCTCTCTGTGATTTCCCGCTTCACCAAACCTCTCCCACACCAGACCCTCATGTGAAAGTGGCATGGGAGAAGACCTGTCGAGGCATCAGGCATAGGCTGGCCCCAAAAGCTGAACTCACTACAGCCCCACCACGGCCCCCTTGTGCAGCTCTGGACTCAGAAAAGAGTGGCCGTTCAGCAGAACCAAATCTACACCTGGCAAATAATCCAGCAAGCAAACTTGTTTTGATTTTACCGAACCGAATGGACCAGTGTATCACTTGGTACAAATAACTTGAAATAACTTGAAATAAGTGCTAAAAAGATTTGTACACGCTTATTTCTTACAGGTGAAGCAAACCTGTCCAGCTCAATTTCTGCATACTTCCACCTATTCATGTTTACGCATTTATATAACTTAGTCTTATTGTACTTATACCCAAAAAAATTAAATAAAATAAAATCAATCGAACTCGCAATTTGGCACACAGTAACGACATACATCGCATTGTAGGACAATATAGAAAAAAAAAAAACAAACAGAATCAATAAGGCCAACAAATTGAGCAAGAAGAGTTTTTTCCATCAACAGGCACCGTCTGGTAGCGAATGCGTACTTGAACAAGAACTTGACATAGTTGACGACCCATGCCGTGAATTCATGCACATCCCCGTCCATGTTCGTAACAGGTTTGTTGTCGCGCTCAACAACACTTTCAAACTCTGCATAGGTCTCCCTTGCAACATCCATTAGCCTTTTTGTCAAAGTCTTGCAGGAATCGCGCATAGCTGAAGAAGCAGCGCCTGAAAAAATGTTATCTATCTGTGCACGCAGCAACCAAAGAAAACGAAATAATAAGATGCAACAATGGAAATTAGCGTAGTTAGCTGGATTGGACAGACAAACAGAGGGATGGATGCATGAATGGGTGGGTGGTTAAGCAAGTCGATTATTGCATGAAACGATGGATCAATTGCATCAATCTGACTGGTTGACGGGTGGATGGATGCATGAATAGATAAGCACATAGGCACAACGGTGGACTTCTGCCAGGATAATGGTTGGTTCAACTTGGTTGTTTAGCTAGGCTAATCAGGACGAGTAGTCTATTGGTTGATGGGTGAAGGGTTAATCGGTTCATGAGTTGATGCTCTGTGTTACCAACCGGGCTGCCCGGGTCACCTTGGTTGGCCGGGCAAGGGTCATGGGAAGGTCCCAGTACTTGATAAACAAAAATATAAACATCCAAAAAATCCAAGAAAAAAAAACTATGTTGCGCAGAAAAATAAACTGAACAACTTTTGACTCAGGGTCGGATCGGAATTAAAAATAAAATAACATACATAATATATGATATTTCTTTTCTATTTTAGCATTTTGTAATTCATTTCTGGCCCAGCCAGGGAAGTGGTCCCCAGCCACTCTGGTAACATAGCTGATGCCACTTGATGGGTTGACGGGTTGATGGGTTCGTTAATCCGTTGATCTGTTGATTGGTTCATCTGTTAACCAATTTTGGTTGGTTGGTTGATAGGCTGTTTGGTTGATTGGTTTGAACTTTGAATGGGTTAAACAACGGAATCATTCAGTTGACTAAGTCAATGCGTTGAATGTGTTGAATGGGTTTATTCGGTTCATCAGTCTGTTGAACAGATAGCCAAACAAATGCATGAATGCATAGGTGAGGAAAAGGACAGACAAACAGGGCGGTGGATGACTGATGGCCATGCAGGTGGTCAAGTGGCTTGATTATGCCTGATTTGATTGTTTGATTGTTTGATTGATTGTTTGATTGATTGTTTGTTTGATTGATTGATTGATTGGTCCCTTGATTGATTGGTCCCTTGATTGATTGATTGAATGGTTGGTTGGTTGGTTGGTTGGTTGATCGATTGACTAATCGGTTAGAAGATGAATCCGTGCACCAACGGAACAATTCAGGAGTGATGCAAAAAAGACAGACTTTAATTTTGGAAATCAGTGGTTCCCATGTGAAACAAAAGCTACAAAGTCATAAAGGTATTAGAACAGCTAAAGGAATGATCCAATGGAAACAATGCCCCTCTTTTTCCTGTAGCGAGAGACACCATGCCCTTCTAACATGAGGACATGGGTGAATGGATTTTGCATACATGCAGCCTCCCGATTACCGAGCCACGAGTTCAGATTTCAAATCCTGATGCCAGCAGATGAATACAAAAAACAGTCTCAAGCCCCAGGATGAGTAAACTGCACACCGTGCCTCTTGTCACGCCAGTGAGGTCAGACGTACGAATAACAACTTGACAATGTGACACTGCCACTTGACTATGGCAACAGGGCGTGAAAAAATCCCAGAAAACAGGCAGAGGGACTCGAGGGAAGAGAAAACACTTGCACCTCTCAACTGTCTGATGCTAACCAGAAAACATTACCGTCTTCACCCGAATAGAACGCCAGGTCATTATAGCCGTACCTGGTGCAATTTTCAGTCCAGATACAGCTATAATGACCGGGCGTTCTATTCGGGTGAAGACGGTAGCAAAGTGAGAATATTGCCGCGAAGAGAGAGCACCAATATATAAACGACAACTTCAGGAACATGTCTCCCAACACAGACAAAAGAGGAATGTTGAGATTGTTAGAACAGACTGACAGTAGGCCTTTTTCGACTGTCTCACTTGATGTCCAATATGCATCCAGAAGTCCTACTAGCAAGGGTGAGAAAATCAAGCCAATAATCTTTAGCAAGCCGGGGGGGGGTGCGAGGAGAAAGGGTCCGAAATTCGAACATAGAAAAAGAAGAAGAAGAACAAGGCAACACAGCACACCTCGGGCATGAGATCCCTTAAAGTCTCGTAAATGTCCAACAGCAAGAAGAGTTTCTCGGGTGTCTTCTTGCTCTTACATATGGCCTCTCCAAAGCTCAATAGCATCGACATTGATGGCTCTGTTACATCTCTAAACACGTCCTCCCGGAAAGGGTTCAATTTATTAAACACTTGGTCGCACAGCAACCGCTCACCCGAAAACAACACCTTCACCTGCGGCAGACCACAAGCACACATTCCACCAAGACGACAATAACATCGGAAACAACCACATCACCGTTGGCCTTCAGACGAATCTAAGAAAAGCCGGAGTAAGGCGACAGGCGACAGGAGACAAAGACTGAGAGTGAGAGTGAGAGTAGCCATAGCTACACCAAGACGGCAGTAACAGTTGAAACACGCACGTCACTGATAGCCTCCTGATGATGAACCGACGAAGAAGCATAGGAGGAAGAAAGATGGGAGATGGAGAGTGGGACGTGCACATACAGCATAGCTTAAGCATGAGAGGGAGAAGCTTGACAGAGAGACCGTCCTGTGGTGAGACAGAGAGTGAGAGAAGCTTACCTGGTGTTACCTGTTGTTGCTCGGAGAAGAGAAAGAGCACTTCGCTTCACTTTGCTTCTCAAGGCCGGCACTGTGTTAACAGCTGTTATTCTTTGTTGTGCCAGAGCGGGATGGAGAGTGACTTCGGATATTGGTGAGGAGTTGGGAAGAGAGATACTAGCTTCATCATTGCTACAGATTTGATTGTTGGAATGGCAAGAAGAGAGAGAAGCGCCCATTGGTATCAATCCCCCCCCCCCCCCCCCCCCCCCAAAAAAAAAGAAAACACCCGCCTGAGCCGCCTCCTATTCTTCTTCTTCCTTTGTCTTGACCCTGATGCAGTTTGCTCTCCCTCTGTGATTGTCATTCATTCAGCAGTGTGAGCTCCATGCGTGAGGTTGATGGTGTGAGCTTCACAGATGGGGGTCCATTACAAGACAGTATAGGAAAGTTCAGGTAACAGAAAACAACACTCAAACACACACATAAACGAAGGAGCGGGAGGAGGAGAGGAAATACAAAGCAGATGCTGGAAGGGAAGACCAGTTATGTTTCAGACAGCCTCTCAAGGTCAAGATTCACTCTACCACATAAATGCATGTGATGAGGAGAGTTCCCTTGAAGCAAATGACACGCTTTGAGATTACCAGCGCACATTCAAGAAAAGGAGCACCGACTACAACTCGTTACTCTTCAATAACAATAATGGAAGTTTGGAGTCCGCCCATTTAGTGAAATGCAGCATTGTTTCATGGAAACCGGAGAGAGGAGAGAGCAGAGAAGAAGAGCAACACACCCCTACAGAAGCCCGGACTCATTTCAAGCGCAACCTCCCATGTCTCGGCACTCAACACTACGCTCAATGAACATGACGAATCTGAAATAATCTCGACAAATATGTCTTCCTACTAGATCTCTTCCCGAGTATGACAAATCTCAAAGTATACTTAGTATATAGTGAATTAACCATAGCGTCTACAGCAAGAAAAAGATCCATATTTGTTGGCCTGTGATGGAACACAGAGGAAGTCGGATTTGTCATCAACACCACTGGTAGAAATGTGCAGACCACAACCAACATCATCATGTCCTCCTCCCCTCACTGAAAACAAGTCAGACCGTAGCAATAGTAACGAATACACTGCCATGATGACTGACATTGCAGTGCCCACAGGCGAGTATCTTGTCCAATCTCACTCCTGGATGATATTTGATGTCAGGTAGCATGATGATTAATAGCTGTTAGTAAACAGAGCATGAGTTCAAACTTCATATCGTGAAACAATCAGTCAGATGGATACAATCACGCTAGGGGCTGCCCCTTAAAGAAGAAGAAGAAGAAGAAGAAGAAGAAGAAGAAGAAGATGTCGGATGGCACTCAAATGTACAACAACGAGACGCTTGGCTGCCCCTCAAAAAGGAGAAGAAGAAAATTCTGATGCCAATCAAATGTATAGTGACACGACGCTTGTCTTGCAAGTGCCCTAACATGGGGGTAACCCAAGCTCAAGGGCACAGAGGACAGGCACCCTGGCTCATATGTGGGTTCCAGCCCACTAGACAACACTACAGAAAGTTCGAGAACAACATACACTACCACCCCATAAAACAAGACCTCTTACCGCAATTTTCATGTATTGCGTCCAACTCGCTCTCTTGCTTTCCAAGTCCTCCCACTGCAGTCTATGTACATCCTCTTTACTTAACTTTTCAGCTCCTAATTTCCTTAACGTCTGCTCCAGAACTGTACTTCTGATTTCCCTGCAAGTGGCACAAGAATTGTAAACGTCAGTTTCACACACAAGGAATGTAATAACTTCTCAGCTCCTAGTTTCTTAAAACAGAGAAAATCATCCTTCGAAAGCAAAAGTTAGTAATGAGCATCCATCCTACCTTCTGTCCTTCCACATTTCCCCATCAATCCCCCTCCCTGCCCTTTCTCATCTTTTCGCCTTCTTTCCACATTTCCCAACAGGCTTCCTTGCAAATGGATTCTATTCAATCTATTCTGCTTCAAGTGCTTGAAAAGGCCATCCAGGAGTACCGCTGCTCTCATAACGATTATGGTCATGAAGTTCGCAGTAAACAAGTATGCAGTCATGCACATAACCATGACAATGATGATTACTGATCACAACGGACGGATGGTTCACAATGATGATGATGGTTCATGCTTCAACGACTGGTTTGTGAGCATGAAAAAAGAATGGGCACAGGAAACAAGGTACACCTTGGCCAATTAAGTCCATTGTAATTACGGAAGCTTGAACTAATGATCGTAAAGAGTATCCAGCAACATCGACACTGCAAATGGGCAAAACAGTGAAGCATCGAGTTCGACAATGATCCTGACAACGCTCACAGCAAGGACGGCAAAGGAGATGGCTTTCAGCTGATGGCGTGTTAGCCTATTATTAGGTGCATCATCATCATCATCATTGGCATCACCATACGATCATCACCATCATGGAGTGGTGATACGGTTGAAACAAGGTGAAAAGGATGGAGGAAAACAGGTCTGCAACAATGAAGAACGTGGGAGGAAAGAGGCCCAACAAAACAGGGTCAAACAAAGTGTAAAAACGATATAGAATAGGAAGAGAAAAAATATGCGGAAAAAAATAAACAGGGTTCAAGGAAATAGGTTCCAAAGGTTGAAAATGATCGATACCAAGAAGGCCAGCAAACAAACAGGTGCACCAGCAAACACTGACAGACAAAACAGATACAAACAGCAGCCATGCACACAGCACTGTACGTATGGTACCCGGGATCGCTACTCACCACAAGGAACCTCCGTCCAAGGGGGAGAATGAGTGAGCAAGTACGTAACGAAGGTAGCAAACAGCAAGAAAGCCGAGAACAGGACGGCAGTGACTGGGCACTAATAACAACTACCCACCTGTACATCTTTGTACATGATGCTACACGGTTGCCAGCAAGCATGCGCAGAGCCATTCCATGCAAATCCGTAGTTATTTTTTCTGGCAGCAAAACTGAAGGCGAAACCAGTGCTTCTCCACCCTTCGATGACGGATCTGCTCCTGCACGATAGCGTTCTTTGGGCATTGCAACATCTCGTGTCCACATGCCGTTTTCAGAAATTCCCCCGGTGTGCTGCTCTGGCATAGCTTCAAGCAATTTGTTTGTATCGACTGGTTTGCTGCACATGTAACCAGAACCAACACCCAGTCCACAAAACCAGAACACTTAAGCACAGCCTCATAATTCGTACCTCCGTGACACCCAAGGAAGAGATTCCCTCCCTGCATAAGAGTTGCTACTGCTGATCGAGGATAAGAGCACACAATGTGGTCAAGAAAGCACGGGAACAAGCGAAAGGAATACAAGACTCCAGAAGCTGCATTACCAACCGGGCTGCCTGGGTCACCTTGGTTGGTTTGGGTCGCCCGGCCAGGCGAGGGCTGAGGAAGGTCTTAGGGGGGGGGGGGGAATCCAAAAAATGATTTAAAAAATATGCAAGGAACATGAATATGGACGAAGCACAGAAATCCAGAATGCAAAATCACACTGAAGTCCAAGTAGTCAAAGCCAGAGCAGATAGCACAATGGAACCGAGTAACCACAATTGAGGACCGTGAGTCAATGTCCATGCCCAACAGGGCAACACCAACAGCATAACCCAATGTAGCTCTCTCTTATGAATGGCGCCAGGCGCCCTATCTACTCTACAGACTAAGCCTACAACTACAGCAATGAAAGCAACCAGACAACTTGACTACCAGCGAGTGATGATGTCAACACCAATGCCGACCTCCACCTCCACCAGGTACGTGTCCTCTTCACCCACACTCTCCCTTGTCACCCACACAGCGCCCTTCACCTCCGAAGAACCACCTTCACACTCACCTCCCCTGCGCCCTGTGCAGCCCGGCTATGGCCGCCAAGCGCCCAGTACACAGGCAGCGCCCTACCGCCTAGCGCTAGCCTGCCTCATCCCAGCGCAGCGCAGCTCTGCACAGCGCAGCACCTCGCATTTGCGCAGCGTGCCCACAATGCCTGCATTGGCCAAGAATGCTGCCCACTCGCCCTGCTTGCCTATATGCCAGTGCTGCGTGTGGGCGGCCTCCCTTCAGCCTGCGTCTGGGCCCCAGTGGCTGAACCCAGCCCAATACAGTTAAGCCGGGGCAATGCAGTTGCGCCTCTTTCATCAAGGCCTGCGGCCAGATTCAGATAGTGGGCCGATTTCCCTTTGGCATTTTCGGCCTCTGTACCCAGCATGCATTGTCGGCCTCACGTTCAAGTGCCCAGGGCCTAACTTACTCAGAGGCCCTGGGATTTCCACGTTTGCAGAGATTCGAGACTCAGTGCACTCCAACCAACTGGCGTGCTGCAACTGTATGGACCCCACTTTAGACTCAGTGCACTCCAACCAACTGGCGTGCTGCAACTGTATGGACCCCACTTGGGGAAATGTTTGCACAGAGGGCTCTTGTTGATTTGCTGGCCCGCCTTCACTTAGGGCAGGCACTAGGCTTGCTGGGGCCTTAGCCCAGAACATGTACATCATGGCAAGGCCCCTTCTTGAGGGCTCAATCCTCACAAATAATAAAAATCCCAAAAAAAAACTATGTTGTGCAGAATAATAAACCGGACAACTTTGCATCAGGGTCACATGGGAGATTATTTGCCAAATATAAAAATAAAATAAAAACAAATAATAATATATTTTGTTCTAGGCTACCAGAGTGGCCCGGGACCACTTGCCCGGCCGGGTCAAAAAAAAAAAACATAAAAATAAGAATTTTATTTTTATTTTTATTTTTTTGGTGAAGAATTTCGATGTGACCCTGAGGCAAACGATCTTCAGCTTATTTTTCTGCATAACATTTTTTTTTTTTCAGAATTTTTGGATTTTTTTTTTTTTTTGGCTGGGACACGGCCGGGCAGCCCGGGCAAACAAGGTGACCCGGCCCGGGACCCGGCCAGGCACGCCCGCCTGTTGGGCAGAGGGGGGGTCACCCGGCAAAACCAGATGGGTCAAAAAAGAGGCAAGGATCCCCCCCCAAAAAAAAGACTTCCAGAAATGCGCTTGGCCTAAGTAGTCAGAATCCGGACTTAACTTCGATTTTGGTGATGGGTCATCCAGGGGGGGGGGGGGGGGGGGGGGGGGGGGGGGGGGGGGGGGGGGAGGGGTGGAGGGTTATAAATGATGACTAGAGGGGTTTAAAAGGGTACATTTTTGACTCGTGTTTTCTCATTTATTTTTATCTCAAAATTAACAAGGAATTTTGAGGTAGCCGTCAGCCAAAGCTTGTTTGTATTGCAATTTTACCAGGGCTGGTCCCCGGTTGGACCAGGGGCCGCTCTCCCAACCGGGACCCTGTCGGTCTCGGGCCAGCAGACCCCTGGTCGAACCCAGCGCATCACGCGGGGGGCGGGGGGCGGGGAGGGGGGGAGTAAAGGGGAGTAAAATGCACCCCTGCGATTGCCCAGCCCACAGGAGGCCGCTGCCTCCTTACAAAATAAAAAATCGGGGCCAGCCCCGCTTCTTGAAAAGAATGCATGAAGATCTCTCCACAGCTGATCTTCGCAGATCAGCAGAGAAAAGTCACCGCATTTTCTTTTCAAGATGTGGGGTCCAAAAGGCCCCATTTTCCAATTTGGCATCGTTCAATCCAGTGGACCACAGACCAGATGTAAATGGCACATCCTGATGCACGCCCAAGCAAAGCTACAAGTAAAAGAATATGCCTGAGAGGTGGCTTTGCTTAGATTAAATGCTTCTGCAACGTCCCTATGCTCTGGAGAAAAAGTAATGGGTTTCGGTGGTGGCTGAGAGGAACAATGCTGTCCGAGGTGCAAGCCCAAGAATGGACCTCGCTCCACTACACTACATGCATCTGGACAGATTGCCAGGCAAGAAACTTTCGGACTGATGACCCACCGTATGTAGGAAAAAACAAACAGAAAATGCTCTGCCTCCACGAGCTGAACCTCTTTGGACGTCGAGCTATACTCTGGAAAAGCTAGAAGTTTTGGCAAGGACGGTCTCTCAACATATCTCGTCCGGCTTCTGGGCTGCTGGCGACTGATGGTAT